CCAATATACAGTAAATTACCCCATACATTGCTCACAGTGAAGAAAAATGTTTATTGAAGATACAGCGGGTCCCAACCTGGGGGCCCTGGGGTACTTTGGGGGGGGGGTCTTGAAGTTGTTCTATAATAAACAGTCAGAAGATTCAAGAAATATGAGAAAAAAAAAATCAAGACTATGGCAATAAATGATAATGAATGAAAACAACAAATTAGGTATTGAAAATTAGTAAAAAGAGGAGAAACGATTCGTAAAAAGTTGTAAAGGGACAGAAGTAAAATATAAAGTGGGAATAAAGAAAGAAAGAAAGAAAAAAAGAAAGAAAAAAAAAACAAAAACAAACAAACAAACGGAGGCTTGGAGCAACATTTTTGTTGTTGACGTCGAATTAGACTGAATTTCATTTCACCCAATACCTACATAGAATTGTTTCAATAGATTAGAATATTTCTATTACAGTATATATTTATATCATATATACTATAGTATATATAGTATATAATTATAGTATATATTAATAACTATAGTATCTATGATATCTATTAATATCTATAGTATCTATGATATCTATTAATAACTATAGTATCTATAGTATATATTAATAACTATAGCTATTAATAAGTATAATATTAACTAAACCTAAACGTGGCCGTGGAGGTTATTTTATATCAATCGGGGAACACAGAATGGAAAAGCTTGGGAACCAGTGGCCTGTATTATTCGTTTCTTTGTCTGTCTTTGTCTCTGTCGATCCTCACTCGGAGACAATTCGTGTCTGATGCTTAACAATAATATGTGTTTGGCAAAGTTAATCAAACATCATTATGTCATTAATTGTGGGGCTTGATATTACATTAATAATTCTCTATAATATCTATATTATGCTATCAATAGTGGGAAATCTCATGCCTCTTAACATAACAGTGATTATTCTCTCTCTATATATTATCTCATTAATAGTAGGACATACAATGCCTCTTAACATAACAGTAATTATTCTTCACCTGAAATTTGTCACTGAATTCTACTAAGAACACTGCACCCCCCCCCCCCATGTCATTCACCTATCAGAGACCTGGCATCACTGTCATGCGATGCCGGAGATAACACCTGACTATCAATGCCAGGTGAAAATGTCAGGGATTAAAATAGATCACTTAAATACAATAAAATAAACCGCAACCAAATTTAACCTTACTACACATAAGCGCCATCTGTTAAGCATAAACAGACACAGAAACGCCATCTGTTAACCATAAACGGACACAGAAACGCCATCTATTAAGCATAAACAGACATAGAAACGCCATCTGTTAAGCATAAACGGAGTTAAAAGAAACACCTTAGTGCCTGCTCAGAACACACTGATAAAATGACTGATAAATCGAGATAGGCGAAAGCAGACTACGCACGTCAAGATAAACTGAAAAATCCACATTTTGCTGTACAGTGAGGTATCTTTACTACGAATAAATACACACATCTTCAGAATACACTTGATAGTTTATGTGAAAATGAAAATGATAACATAATAATTGTTTTATTTTTGAAAGAGTATCCCTGTATCGATGCGTACAAGCTTAGGTATGATATTAATTCAAATCAAACACTTAAAATTAATCTGCATTGTGTGACAAGCTTTATCTGATTTTGCTCATCATAATCTTTCCATTATCCATTCTTAATAAAAGAGACCGATAAGGAGGAAGAAAGAGAGAGTAAATTAAGGAAAAATGGTTATCGTCAAATGTGAAATGATATGATGGGAAAAATATATGAAAGACTGATAAATGATATATATTTTTTTTACTTGTGTAAGGCAAGAGAATATGCAGATAGAAAGAGAAAGAAGGTGGAGAGAAGGGAGAGGGAGATATATATATATATATATATATATATATATATATATATATATATATATACACACACACACACACACACACACACACACACACACACACACACACACACACACACACACACACACACACACACACACACACACGCACAAGGAGGGAGAGAGAAAGTCTTTGAGTGCATATATAAATACATAGATTAGATAAATAGATAGGATGAGAGCAAGAAAGATAATAAGAGTCAGAGAGAGAGAGAAAAAAACAACACTCGCACACATTTGAAGAGTGACTCAGATAAGAAGCTAAATGGACCAGCCTTTGCCTCAATATCTCAAGTTAATTAGTCCTTACTCTGCAACCTCGACGACTCCTTGCTCGTGTTTTAAGGTATTATTCTACAGATTCACCGTCAGTGGTACACCTTTTCTCAGTTGCAACTAAAGAATATTACATTTAGTTTCAACATCTGCGAAAGGAATCAACATTATTATGCTTGGCAAATGGCAATCTTTACTTGCAATCATCCAGAACCTTTTAACAGATTTAGTTTCAGTTCTATTTGTTACAATTGATATTCTTTACTTTGACATTGTTATATTTTGTTTCTAAATCTGCCCCTGTGTGCAAGGAATGGCCGGGGTTACCATCCACTGGAAGCGCGCGTGATCGAACGCAGGTCGACAAGATTGCTCGACCTGCACGTTACCATTGTAATACGTGATACTTTTAACTGGCATTCGACAATCGTCTCATTCTTCAATGACGTCACTAATACTTTCAACATCTAAAAAAAAACTAAATAAAACTCTTTAAACCGTTATAACTATGCGAAACTTTTATTTTTGGGTGTTTTTTTTTTTCGCAAATTGAAACACCATAATTTTCCGAATTCGTACTTTTGAAGCAAGTAGCGAACCACCGAATCGAGACGGTTCTCAACACACCCGATGCTTCCCCTCCGAGCGTGCATCTCCTCCCGTAGCCAGTTCGTCTCTGAGTAGATATTTCATCCCCATCCTGTATATCCTTAAAAATACACCCCTCCAGCATGCCACGGAGGTCGCGAGGGCAATAGTGAAGCCTACAGGGCGGTCCTTGGAGTACAGCGCCCCCTCCGAGCGAACCACGATCTAATCTCCCGTAGTTCTCAACGCACTCTTTGGAGATAATTTCATCGAGCCGCATGTATCCTCCCGTAAGCCTCCATCATTCGCCACGGAGGTCGATTTTCATCCAGTGAATCCTGTATATCCTTGGAAATACAGCCTCCCACGATTTAGGAGGTCGCAATTGATGCGGGCAAGCAACGATAACTACAGGGAAACGCTCACGTATGAGGTAGTACGCAGATTATCACAAATAGACGCATATATCACAAATGGACTGGCATTGATGCGACGACATAAATAGACGCATATAACATTCGACAAATGAGACGCAGATATCGAGGTTAGACGCTATGTTATAGACAATAGACGCATGATTATCGGATTATCGACCAAATAGACGCATGATTATCGACAAATAGACGCACGATTAATACGCACATGATTATCGCACGCTGATTATCGACAAATGGACGCATGATTTATCGACAAATAGACGCAGTGATTATCTGATTATCGACAAATAGTAGAAAATAAGCATGATTATCGAGACAAAGAGAATATATAGACAAATGGTGGCAATGATTAAAGATCAAATAGACGCATCTAATAAGACGCATGAAATCACAAAGATGATTGAATATCGACAAATAAAAGATCGAACATTTAGATCAAGACAAATAGACGCATGATATCGACAAATAGATCGCATGATTTATCGACAAATAGAGACGCATGATTAACGTGACAGCATTGAATATTCGACATAATAGACGCATGATTATCGACGTAGCACACAAACTGAAAATCACGAGATTAATAAGTGCACTGCTTGAACGAACCTTATTGATGACATTAGATGAGGAGAATAACATGGACATTTAACAAATACGAACAGGAGACTCGCTGTTTCGAGAAAGAATTTTGACACAGAAATATAGGACTTAGTCATTCAAATACCTATTAAATGTAAGCTTAGAAAGGATAGATGTCCATTTTATTACTCTGATTGCAAATGAAATAATAGTTTATTACCTGTTCTCTTTTGTGTTTATGTGGTATTTATATTTGGTTAATTGCAAATAACCCTTTTTGATCATTATGTTCAGTGATGCATTTCATATTACTTTTATTACTTTAAATTCATAATATTATTTTATAGCCTGTAATGCTTGATTTTGCATTAAGAATTCTTTTTTTTAGTGTATTTTCTTTTTTTTAGCTATGCAAATATTTCGAAAGCCAAAATTTTTACATACGAGAACTACGATTACGAAATTCAATACTATTTTAGATTCTATTTGCGGTTATTGTTTTATATGGCTTATTTTATTATTATTATTTTAATATTAGTATTATACTAATTTATTATAATATCATTGAATAATAATGCAATAATATAATGATATAAAGTGATAGTAATAAAAATATATACTAATAATGATTAAATCGGACCGAGCATCGACCTTGCCACATAACGAAGTTCCAACCTCATTTGCAGAATAAGAATCCAAAGAAAACGGTTTGCCATGATTCGAAGGGCGGTTAATTCACGCTCCTTCCACCTATATTTGCTGTGGATATTCACCCTCCTTTCAGCATCCGCACGCCGTCTGCGAAAACCTCTCGAACCAACGTTAGTATGGATGATTGATACACGACACTTTGTGGAAACTTTATATTGACTTACTGAAGACCACCTTCCTGGCAAACAGGAAAACTGCGGTTCATAGTCCTCCTGGATATTTAACCTCGAAAGATTTATGATACGTCATACTAGTTTTATTTTTCTGAATTTTCATCATTATTAATTTTTACTTCCACGACGCAGAAATAAAGATACAGACTATAAACTACAATTGGGTCCGACGAGAAAAGGTAGAAGTGACGGTGTGTCTCGAGGCGAGGCGGACGGGACCCCCGGGGCACCGCGCCTCGTCACCAACGATTCTCGGCAGAGGCGTGCGCCCCTCCGGAGGAAGGAGGAGGAGAGGAGGGGCGTCGCGGAAAACGGAGGAGGCTTTTGCTTCGCCGGTTGAGT